GGGGCGGCCGGGCGCCGGCACCGGTGCCGGAGCTCAGGCCTTGCTGGGGGTGAGGCAGCCCTTGGGCCCGGGGCCGTTGCACGTGCCGCAGGTCTTGTGGCAGGGCTGGCACTTGTCCGCGCCATGGACCGGGTGGGCGTACGTGCCCGGGGCACAGGCCAGGCAGACAACCGGCAGGCCGACATCCGCCTGGTGGCACATGCCGCAGCCCTCGGGGCAGGCCCGGCACTCGTAGTTCTCCGGGTCGCGATAGAACCCGGCATCCAGCCGGCAGAAGTTCTCCTCCGGCAGCCGGCAGACATCCTGCCCGGAGAGGTCGACCCCGGGGACCAGGCCCTCGGGGCAGTCGCCGAGCACGCACCTCCCGGTGCCGGACACCAGCCGCCAGCCCGGGTGGCAGGAGGTGCACATTTTGGCGCTGGTCGAGCACGAGGCGCAGGTCTCATCGCAGAGGTCCATCTTCGGGCTCGGGTCCAGGGGGTTGGAGATGGCGGTGCTGTCGTGGCTGTCGTAGTTGATGTAGCACCGCTCGTAGAAGAGGTACTCGCCGGGGACGCACTTGCAGCACTTGAAGCGGTTGATGAAGCACTCGGCGCAGAAGACACACTTCTCGCAGCGCTGGTTCTCCTCGCGCCAGAACCACCCGGCCGGGCAGCCGGACTGGCACAGGCCGTCAATCATGTAGGGATGGCTGGCGGAGCAGGTGATGCACTGGTCGGCATTCAGGCCGCGGCAGGTGTTGCAGCTCTCGTGGCAGGGCCGGCAGATGCGGTTGGCGATGCTCCAGAAGAAGCCGCTGGGGCAGGTGGTCGGGACACATTCGCCGGCCCGCGGGGCGTAGCCGATCTCACAGGCCAGCACGCCGTACTGGTCGCACTTGAGGGCATGCGGGCCGCACTTGAGGCACTTGTTGCCGGCCGCCTGGCGATAGCCCTCCGGGCAGTGGGTCCGGCAGGCGCCATCCGGCATGGTCAGGAAGCCGGGCTTGCAGGCGGTGCAGTTGTTGGCCCGGTCCTCGCAGGTCAGGCACTGGGGCGCACAGCGCCGGCACATGTTGTCCACCTGGAAGTGGGTGCTGGCGCATGTGGTGACGCACTCGCCCTGGCCCGGGACCCAGGTCTCCTGGATGAGACGCCCGGCCGGGCACTCGCGGCACTGGTCGGCATTCGGCCCGACCGAGCGCTTGCACGTGGAGTGGCCCTCGGCACAGCCGAGGTTGCAATGGTAGCACAAGTTCAACGGCGGGAAGAGCATGGTCAGGCAGCGCTCCGGCATGGGGACGCAGAATTCCGCGCAGGCCAGCACACTGTCATCCGGGTCGGTGAACCAGCCGAAGGCATTGACCTGGCCGCCGCTGGTGGGGGTCCCGCGCGCGCTGGCCGCCGCCATGCTGGACAGCATCTGCTTGGCACTGAGCTTCGGGGTGGTGTCGGCGACTTGCTGGGCCCCGGGCGCGGCATTCCCATCGAGGATGCCCCCGAACCCATAGAGGCCCCAGCACATCCAGAAGCAGTCATCCGGGTTGACCCCGGAGTCGGTGCGAATGGCCGAGATGGAGATCCCCCCGTCGTTGGAGGAGGCCGACGAGGCGCCGGCCGCGGAGCCCAGCAGGGCGGTGACCGCCTTGGCGGCCACCACATCCGGCGTGTACAGCAGCCCATTGGCATCCTCCATTTGGATCTCGATCGACCGGGGCCCGGCAAAGGGGGATGTCGTGTGGATGCCGGAGGCCGGGCTGCCGGCCGTGTGGGCCTGGTCGGCCGGCGGATCGGCCACCTGGGCGAAGTCCGTCATGGTGTAGGTCAGGGTCTTGGCCGGGGGCTGGCCGGCGGCCGAGCCATCCGACCGGGGCTTGGCACTGTTGATGCTCAGCCCATTGCCACTGCCCGGGGGCCAGTAGGGATTCGGCCGGGCAATGCCGTCCGGATGCCAGCAGATGGGCCCATCGCAGATGGGGATGATGGGCACCTCATGCGGGTAGGTGGCCATCAAGGGAGGCGGGTCCAGCTCCGGGCAGTAGTACCACTGGGGCACGCAATTGCCACAGTGGCCGGTCAGGTGCATGTGCTCATTCTCGCCGGTGCAGCCGCCATACTGGCAGATGCCATCCCAGAAGCGGAAGCCCCAGTTACAGCTGGTGCAGTCGTCCGGGGTGGGCCCGGTGCAATTCTTGCACGACTCGTGGCAGCGGATGCAGTGCGGGGTGGAATCGGTGTTCGGGCCGGTGTACTCGTAGAAGCCGGGCTCGCAGCTGGGGTAGCAGCGGCCGTCGATGAACCGGAAGCCGGGCTTGCACCGCTGGCAGACCGTGCTGCTGGCACACTCGGAGCAATTTTCCGCGCACACATCGCAATGGCCGACCAGGGTGCTCCCCGGGTTGGGGACCACGATGCGGCCCTCGGTACAGGCGGTGCACTGATTGGCCGCCGGGCCGGTGCACCGGGTGCAATTCGGGGCGCAGGGCTGGCAGGTGTAGTCGGAAATCCGGTCCCAGTAGCCCAGCGGGCAGTTGGTGACACACCGGTCGATGTGCCACCGGAGGCTGGTGAAGCAGGTGAGGCAGTCGTCGGCCGTCGGCCCGGAGCAGGTCATGCAGGTGGTGTCGCAGAGGCCGGTGTAGGTGGTGGTGGTGATGGCGGCGGCGGCGGCGGCGGCGGTGCCGATGGTGTTGGCCTCATCGGCCGCCGGGGCCGGGCACTCGGCCGGGCAGCCGGCCCGCATCTCCGGGTCCTCGGCGCACCGGGCATCATCGCAGGCATCGCAGATGGTCCCCCGGGGGAAGGTGGTCTCCGGGCAGGCATCGACGCAGCGGTTGCTGACCAAAAACTGCCCGGCCGGGCAGCCGGTGCAGTGGCCGGGCTCGCGGCCGCTGCAGGTGGCGCAGCCATGCCAGCAGGGCAGGCACTGGCCGAGCTCCGCCGAAGCGAAGAACCCGTCCGGGCACTGGGCCACACAGGCCGACGCCTTGGCATCGCGGAAGAGCCCGGCCTCGCACACGGTACACACGGCGGTCTGGGTGAACAGCCGATCGCCCGAGAGGCTGGCCTGGGTGCCGAGGGCGCTGTCCAGCGGGGCCGTCACCAGGACGCATGTCTGGCAGCCGGGGCCGCAATCCCCGGCGGTCGGCGGGTCGAAGCGGGCCTGGCCGCCGGTGCCGACGGCCTGGATTTCGGTGGTGCCCGGGCGGTAGACGATGCCGGCCACCTCGATGGCCTCCTGGGCGCCGGGGCGCTTGAGGATCAGGCGCCCGGCGGTGTGGGCCTTCGGCACGGGCAGGGCCGCGGCCGAGCAGAGCAGCACGAAGAGCGCGGCCAGGGGCAGGCTTAGGGCGCGGACCATGCCGCGCCCGCTGCTTGTGGGCTTGGCAAACATGGGGCCGCCAGACACCTGGGGGGCGGCAGGCGGGGGCCCAGGCCGGGGCACGGCCGGACATGGGCCGACCGGGGGGAGGGAACGGGGGGGG